CACTTGTGCAGAGTTCTAGAGGAAGGTGCAGGAATTTGTCGAAGCAGCTGAAAAAATTCAGATGCTCTGGGTCTTTCTGTTGGTTCCTTGGCTTCCTTTCTGAAGCAGTAAAGACTTCAAGAAGACCATTCTTACCCCCAAAATTCAGATGCTCCCAAAGAGTGGCACAGAGAGGCCTCTTCAAGGAGAGGAAAGTGGGAATTTGACCATCTAGCAAGCAGGAAAAGACTTGATAAGACATTTGGACTAGCCTTCTAAATAATTGAAACCGTTTCAGATGTTACTATGGGACATTAACCAGAAAATTAAGACTTTTTGACATCAGTATCTGCAAACTTCATTCCATCTGTCCTTTTTTGGCCCATGTTTTTGCTGTTGTTATCTGTCTGGTTGCTCCCACTGCTCAGGAGTGACACTTGGCCTGAAACATGCTCAAATAGAGTATTTTTTATTTGTTTGTGTCTACACATGGGAAAAAATTAAAGTTTTATTTTTCTCATACAGATACTTTAGAAAATATCTATCTAATTAACATTTTTGATAGAACATTTCTATGCAAGATAAATGCATGGCAATTGTAAATTGCAGATTTGCAAATGCAGTGTATTAAGAAAATAATTATGCTATTTGAAAGATAGCCATATATTTTTCTTTAGACTTAGGATGCTAGTTGAATTTCAACAATATAATATTTTCTAGAAACCCGGAAATAAATGAGGATTTATTGGGGCTTAACTTAGGCAGCAGAGAACACAGTAATGGTCAGGAATTTGGCAGAGGACTTTCTGTTTGCTTTCACCACTGTGTGATTCCTCAGAACCCTTGCTAGGCTGGAGTCACAGAGTAGGACAGAGCTGCCAAAGGCATCAGCAAACTTGGACACCTTCACACTATCAATTTTAGTGACACAACTGGGGAGGCTGGGGCAGCTCCAAGAGGAGATCACATGGTGAGCAGCATCACCCTGAGCTTGTGCAACCATGAAGCTTCACTATGCAAAGTTAATAGCTTAGATCTTGGAAGCATCAGAGATGCATCAGCACAGTGTCATTTGAGCATCAGCACAGTGTCATCTGAGCATCAGCACAGTGTCATCTGAGCTAAAAAGCCCAACTTCTCTGCAAGGCTAAACCGACTCAAGACACAGAGCAGCATCAGCTTCTACAGTTGTTTCTGCAAAGGGTTTTTAGTAACAAAATGAATAATCTACATGTCTTAAGTATTTAATGATGAGTACACCTGCACTGCTCCCACCTTGAGCTGATTTAGCTGGCTCTAAGATTGGAGCTGTGTGTCCCTTTTCTATTGCACTGTATAAATATATATAAATGAAACACTGACATTGCAATCCAGCTGGCCATCCAAGCCATCAGGACCTTCAGCAGTCACACTGAAGTGTTTGGTATATGACATTTAAGAACAGGAAATCATAATGCCACCCACTGCCTGGAAAACGTCTTTGTTAAGGACTTTACTGGTGTACCTGTAGCTGGACATGTCCTCCTGGTGTAGCTCTGCTGAGTAAACTAATGTATTCCTGTCAAAAATAGCATCCACTGTAGAGCACTTGAGAGCTATGTATGGAAAGTGCTACATGGGAAATGCAGAACCTTATTCCTCATTAGAAGGCAAACCATACTCATTGTTACTATTCCCTCCAGGACTGAAACCACACCACTTCCACTGAAGTCTATGTTCTTTGCAGTCCCAGAAGAAGACTAAGTTCTGTGATCAGGCTAATTTAATAGGAGAGGTTTAATTATTTGATACCACACAAAAAATAGAATTACTGACTTTTGCATCCTTTCCAAATCTGACATTTCCAAGCAGGTCTGTAATGGCAGTCTCAGAGGACCTGTGCAGTCCCCAGCACAGCCAAAGGATAACCTGTTGCTAAGCAACCAATATAAGTGTGCTGCTCAACATTTTTTCATTTGGAAAGGAACATGTTTGTTAAGTACTTCATCTTAGCTACCAAGCACAAAGAGTTTTCCACTTGTTTTTCTGGAGCTGTTCAGGTGTGTAAAATAGTCAGCTTGCACAAACAAATGTGCAATTCAAAGAACAGATGCTAGAGAAGAACATGCAAAACAGAAGGTAGGAAAAACTGGCACAAGTATTTTAGTCTTTTCTAACATCAGAGTCCTGAATTTGCCTCTTTGTGTCTGTGTCCATCCCACTTGAAAATGGGCTGCCTTGGTATGTGGCAGAGCTATCTGCAGAGCTCACCAATGTTTGTTGATGCACCCTTTTTTGAAGAGGTCATGGTTTTCCCACTGACATGAGGAAAACCATGCACTACATTTTTTGATACTTTTACCCTGATAAACAAAGGCCAGAACTGGATCCCAACTTTCCAGCCTGAATGCTCCAAATCTCAGATTCTGTACTTGTTTCAGAAAAGCAACTAAATAGGTTGGAAAAGAGCCCTTAACGTTCTACAACTAACAGCATTTTCACTTTAGTGCTTGTCCCTGTAGTGAAATAAAACCCTATAGATGTGCTAGACTTGTGTCTGTGTGTCTGAAATCAGCCTTGGCCTGAATAGTCTCTAGCTAAATTGGCCTGAAGGAGTTGTTAATCATGTTTCCCAGCCTAAAACTGTGTGAATAGGCATCATATAACACACACATACACGAATATGGGAAATTGCTCAAATTCAAGAATGCAGTTTGGTTTCTAATGGCCATAATAAATGCATGTTTTATTGCAAGTGATCTTAATGACACATATACCCTGCAGAAGTGTACTGAGCCTGGGGGGCATGCCAACTTAATGTATGTTTCATCCTAGTGTATGGAGGCTGTTTTTGGCTAAGAAGAAGTCTTTATGCATTCTAGTTCTCCTGCGTAGATGTAGGAAGTGTATTTATTGACTGATTTTTTTTTTCTGACTAGCTATGTGGTCTCATCCAAATCCTGTCAAAGTAAAGTATTTGTGGGTAGCCCAAGAATGGATGAAGTCCATGTCTTACAGGGGCCCACAAACAGTAAAATACAGCTTTCTATGACCCCAGAGATTGTGCATGTAAAAGTTTCCATCTGATCTCAACCTCTTGCCTGACATATAGCCCTGTGAATTCAAGCTCAGCTCTGTCTGTGTAAGGCCACCTGACACAGCTGCAAGTTCTCCTGGCTACTGCCAGCAATTCCTGCTCCTCTGTCTCACACCCCAGAAATGCACAACTGGGTGGAGACAGACAGCAAGGACTGTGCTAAAAGCCATTGTGTTGTTCAGGATAAAGATTGAGAGGCAGAAGTCACTCACTGTGATCAGGCAGGTTGTCCAAGACATCAGTGAAGGTGTCCTGTTTTCCACACTGTTGCACTCAGAGTAGGATGGGTACCTGTGTAGCTGAAGATGTTTTTTTTCGTAGCCACTGAAGGTCTTCCTGTTGCAGATCCAATGGATCATGTTGGATACAGACGGATGTCTTACTCTCCCTTTGATCAAGTGAAATGGATGCAAACTTGCCTTCAACTGCTATGGTTTCCAATGCTGTATTTTGCTAAATGAAATGCAGCGTGGGAGTACTACGCTGTTTGCAAGCTGAGCTGTGTCTTGGGAGCAGTAAGTAACAACTACATCTTTCTTTAGAACTGAGGAAAACTACACACAGTGTTGGAGAAATGCAGCTGAGCTCTGCATGGCATCCTGCAGCTAAGGTGACTTGGTGTCTTACGCTATTCAGATGCACAAAGCTCTTCCTGCCCCTCTCCTTCACTGGTACCTCTGTTTTTATGCTTAAATAGGGAATTGTCTTCCAGACATCTCTTTATTGAAGGACTCAACTTAGCTGTCTGCCTCACGTCTATGGATTCATGATGCTGAGTCCCCACAGCTGAATCAATACTTCTTTCTTATGTCTGGTGTAGTACATGCAGGAACATTGCTTGTCAACAGGCTGACACTACAGTGCCACATCACAGAGCAGAGCTGTCACATTTGGGAGCAGGAGAGCAAATTTGCTGCCTAACCTGGCAGCCTAGTCATGAAGACATTGATTTTGATTTTGAGATGGAAGTAATTGCTATTTTCAATCCCAGGGATTTGATCTGTTAAAGTAAATTTTTGGCTGACTTGCTTTATTTAGGAAATACTCTCTCAAAGCTGCTGCTTCCCATCTCTTTTGAACACTCAGTCATTCCTGCTGCAGAACCCATCCGACCAACCCCATCACAAGAAGTTGATTTGAAGAATAACTCCAAGAAATTTACCTGACCAAATGAAAAGCAGATTTGCTTAATGTGTGAACAAGTAGGGAAACACAAGAGTCCATTTTTTTTTAATCAAACCCAAACAAAATAGTGAAGTCAGAAAACAGATGAAACAAAATGTGCCACTTGTGTTTCACGTTTCTTTATTTGAAGTTGCAAGATTCACAAGAGTATTTAATTTTGGAAAAAAACCAGCATTTTTCACCGAAAAAAGAATTAATCAGGAAATGGTTATCCAGCTTTCACAAGAGGTCACTGTGTGAGTAGAATACATTGAAATAAAACTCTAGAGGTAGTAAAATAACAGAGAAAAACACAGCACAAATAAGGGGCAAGGGTATCTTGAGGAAAGAAGTGTAATTCTAAATTGAGTAAAGAGCAAAAGAGGAGATGTAGTTTCACAGAAAATCTGAGATAGCTCCAGTTAACTTAGGAAACAGAAACTGCTGTATTTGCTATATATATATGTATTGCTGGATATTGAGCCAGCTCTAAAGGCTGTGAGCGACGTTATGCAGCAGCTTGTGTAAATATCCTACAAGAACCAATAATGAGAAGGGGGAAATAAAGTGCAGAGCAGAGATTTGTCTATAATTCAATATTTCTGTGGGGGTTTTCTTACATAGCTTTAAAGAAAATGCAAGGGGAGAAAAAACAGAGTACATGGGGAGGTGTGACTCTCTATACCAGGGTTATATTACATATTCTCTACATTATATGTTCTCTACAATTTCAGATCTGAGAGGCAGAAAAGAGGAAATTCAAGTCAGCATGCTTAATACATCTATTCTAACTCGATTTTATTGAGTGATTTTCAACCACAAATTTTCATTTTAGCTTCTGTGTAAAATAAATCCCTTCATAGTGCCAATATAAACATGTATTTTCCCTTTGCCCTCAGTCAGTTGTAGTTTGTGCATTAACAGGGACTTTCTGCCAGAAGCCTTTGCTCTTTTGGAGAGCCACTCCTCTGGGATTTAGGCCTCCTGGTTGGCCACTGTACCAAGCTTTCCTGGTAAGGCAGCAGGTGGATCTGGACAGGAGCCAAAGTTAATAACCTGTGAACCAGGGAGAGGAGGGACAGTAGCATTTACACAGAAAACATTATCATTGAAGGAGTGCTTCTCCTGTGATACTTCCAAAATGAAAATTGATATTCATAGCCACATTCTGCCTAAGGAATGGCCTGACCTGAAAAAGGTAAAAAGAGTTTAGATATTCAATGCCTTATGTGATCAGCAACCATTTCTACCCATGTGATTTCTGAAAGAAAAGTGAATGAAGGGTTCTGTGGGTAATATCTCCAGGTTTTTGTATAATTTGATTTTTTTTCAGTTGTAAAATATTTGTATGCATTACTTTGCAAAGCAAGAGTCTCAGTAAGAAACGGATGTCATACTGGGCTCTGTTCCCCACTCTTTATTTAGTCTGAAGCAATTCTTACCATTTTCCTTGGTTTTTTTGACCTAAAATTGTCAAATAATGAGGTGTAAATTCAACTGTCTTGATAAAAATGGAGATGTTCTGTTCCCAAATAGTATTCATGTTTGTTTTAAATTAAATAAATAAGCAAATATTAGGCAAGATTAATGTTAACTAAGACAAAAATCATTCACATCTTATACCTCCAGGCATGAAAGTCATTAACTTCAATAGGAGTAGGGTCACTCTAAGTCCAATTAAATGATGATGATGATGATGTCTGTTATTTTTTCAGTTACTGGAAGGAAGCAGCGTATTGTTTTTAAAATACAAAATCTCAGTTTTCAGAACACTGAAGCTATGTAAATTTGTCTTAATTTTGAATCTTTGCATATTATTATTATTTTTATTGTTGTTACCATGATTATTCAGTGACATAAATTTATTCTTGTCAGTCATATTTTCATGATCCCATTAAATGTATTTAGGAACAGAGAGTGTCACTTATGTTTTAAAGTAGTATATCTGAAAGGGTCTCATATCTATTAGCTCTGTGTTTCTGTGATTTTAATCATGACAGTCCAGTATCAACCAATATTAGACAGAGAACAGCTGGAAAATGTAAACACCACATTAGAAAAAAAAAATTATGAGAAAATCTGGCATTAAAAACATACATAGGATTGCTTCCTCATTAGGAGTAAAAAATAACACCAAATATAGCAGTTATACATAAAACTTCCTGGAAAGGAATGTTTGTTTCTGTGTTTATCTAGGAAGGTGTTTATAAATATCTATTTGAACCTCCTGTTTGTAATACTAAGAGCTCCTGATGTAAAACATATATACACTTGATAATGCAGGTGGAAGGACAGACCCTTTCTAGAACAACTATGTCTGTTTTAAATGGACAGGAGTTTAAATAAACAGACTAGAAGACAGATTACTGTTGGTTGTTTCAGATTTTGTTGTCTTTGTGCAATAATCTTATAAAAACACCCATAAAATGCCTTTATTCTGATTTTATATGATCTTTAAAGGATTTTTAATTTTTTTTTTCTGTATGTACTTTAAAAGGGCAACAAATTCACCAGGATAAAATGACCCCAAGAATCCCTTGATGTTCCAAGATATACATCAAGACTGAATTCACTTATGGTAGACACTATAGGCCAGTGTTGCATTTCTTAAAACACAGATAAAGAAGCAAATACCAAATTTTTAAAAGTTAATTTCCATCTGCTAGTTTTTGTTCCTCTGTTCTGAGCCACTCAATGGTTTATTAATGGGCCCAGAGCAGAAAACACCTCCCAGAATTCCCTGGAGTCTTCTGAAAATTCAAGCCATTAACACAGATCTCTACATCTCATGCATGGAAAACCAAGGAAGTATCCTGACATGCACACCTTTACTTAGTGCTGAACTTCTCTTTCTTGTTTCCAGCTTTATAAATACTGAACCCTCATCCTAGAAAATTTGATTGTCAAGATACATATTTAACACCTTAGGAACCCAACATAAGTACAAAAATTTGTATTAAAAAAAATGAAATAAGGACTGTCAATGCACCCAGCCAGTAACTGCAGGGAAGAAAGAAGAAAATAAATTCAAAACCAGAGCAGTGAGTTTCTTTATTGCCTTTGTGCTCCTTCAGCACCTTTAAGGTACTCATTTTCTGCACAGCTTGTAATTGGAATTAGCACAGAGCTAGTTTAAGTTAAATTTTCCCCAAGTTTCAATATTTTTATATATAACCCTATACATTTATAAATTTAAATAAAATATGCATAGCTAAACATAGCAAAATAAAACCTACATAGCCTCTGTCTGCAGAATCTCTGACTGGCTGAAGTCAGGCTTGGCTCTGCACACCTGCACTAGGAAAGTTCACAGTGGCATTAAGTAATGATTCGGTATCACAGGAAATTCAGGACTGTATCCAAATTGTTTACATTTCAGTGAAAGAAATGCCTGCTTTTACTTACTTTCCTTTTAAATGTTTCTTTATGGAAAAAATAGGAATTCTGAGCATTGTTTCCATTCTGATATTTGAAAATTTCATTTATTTCTTATCTGCTAATTCATGAAAGTAAGAGGAAATCAGCTTCATATGTAGGTTTTGCTATTTTGCATGACCAATTTTGAATCTCTCTGGAAGAATCAATGAGCATGTAAGCTTCTCCTCTTTAGCTACTCTTGGCTGTTTAAATATTAATAGACAAGAGGCTGACCTTCAGTCCTGCTGCTGAATCATGGAAGCTGAAAACTGGAATTGATGCATCCCTGTGCTAATGATTAACTGATCACAGATTGCAAAGTAGTCAGCTCAATTCTCACACTGCCAAATATTTAATTTAATTTTTTCTGTGTTAAAATCATTCCAGTTAGAATCTCAATGTAGTAAGCAACTTTGGGCATTTTGGAATCAGTTGTTTAAAAATGTTGAACTGGCAGCTAGAATTGCACATACAAACAACATTAGTCAGGTCCAGTTCAACTTCAGCACTTCTGCTCAAGTCAATGGGGCTACTCAGACTCAAAGTTGAACCCACGTGTTTTTCTCCTGAATGAGGTACTGCTGGATTGTAAGAACTGCAAATAATAATAATTGTACTAGTAGTAGTAGTAGTAGTAATAGTTGCTTTTGTTGTGATTACAGAGTGCTAACTAGCACTGTCTTTTTCTTCTTTCTTCCACAGAGATATGGATATGGTGGATGGGTACAGCTGGATCATCACTGCAAGGTTTGGGCTGTTTGGTGCTCTAAGCTAATCTTATGTTGTCCTCAAGAATACAAACGCACAATAAATCTATTAAGAAGTGAAGTGGCAATAAGATTGGCTCTGTTTCTGATACAGATTTCTCTAGAGCTCTGTATTCTGTGAAGTAATATCAGGGCAAGTCCTAATATACCTCAGTAGAACCTTTTTCTTGAGAGATGAAACTCACAATCTGTGACTGTCTTCTGAAATTCTTCTTTCAATAAAGGGATTCCACACTGAAAAGTAGAGGGATAAGGGATAGAAGGATTGGCTACTTTGCATTTTCAGGGTGACAGTGCCTCTCCCTGTTGGAGTAACCTTATAAAGAAAAGAGCACCTGATCTTCCTTACTCCTTTTTGTGGTTTGGTCAATTCATTCATTCTCTATAGAGACTCAGCTTTAGGGAAGCAAGACTTGCATCTTCCAGGTACCAAAGCATTCAAGTATATAGTACCTGTTAATTTCATTGGAACTAGATATTCCCTCATCCCCTTGTCACTTTGCAAAATCCTACTTTGTTGTGATTGCATATAAGCTTACACTAGCTGGGTAATAAGAAAGAAAGGCAGAAAGACAGAAAGACAGACACAGACAGACAGACAGATAGAAAGAAAGAAAGAAAAAAAGAAAGGAAGAAAGAAAGAAAGAGAAAACTAAAGAGAAAGCCTGATTAAATAGCTACAACACCGTGTCTATTTATTGCAACCTAACATTATACACACTTTTGCCTTTCTCTTACATGCAAGGCTATGCTGTAAAATGCCTAAGAACCATTTGTGGAAAAGGACTACAGAATATGAAGGTTGAAACCAAGAATGAGTTGCAAACAAATATTATGCTGAGATTTCAGATCTGAGTGTAAGTAGGCACAGTAGGGGAGAACAAGCCACCTGCAGAACCACCTTGTGGATGGCACAGCTCCTGAGATATGTGGGAGCTGCAGGAAGGAGAGAATGCTTGGACACATTTTTAGCACCTTAGCTGTTTGTTACAGGTCTGATGCTGAAATTCCATGCTAAAAATAGTTTGCAGAGGAACTTTGTGGCAAGTCAATAATAGCCTGATACCCTCTGCAGAGAATTCTGTCCAGCCTACTTCTGTCTGAAAATTTTACATGAAAAGCAGTGCATGGTAAAATAAAACCCTGCTTAGATGTGTAAAGCTGGGGATAATTTAATAATTTTCTTTAATTCTTAAGATTAAAAAAAAAAAAGCAAAGGCTTCTCATATCATTCTGTGAAGAAGCATCAGAGTCAAACTGGAAGAAAACAATTACATGCATATTTAAAGAAGAACAATTTGGGATGTGACTGAGTAGTTCAGCAATGGGATCATTTAAATGTAGTTTGCTGAACCAAATCAGCCTGCTGGACCTAATTCTGAAATAAGTCTCTCTTACTTTTCACATAAATTAATTAAAGCATTAAATATCGAATAATGTTTAGAATGGGATAGAGTACAGCAGTGTAGAATAGAATAGAATAGTAAAATCCATGCAATCTATTCATGTGTGGTGCAATGCTTGGTTCTACTCTGCCTTTTTCTCACACCCCAAATGTTTTTTTGTTTATTAGACAACCTGCAGAAATGCACTAAACTTTTCTTAATGTATTGGAGTGTATGGTCAGAATAAACCTTTCCGTCAGGTTGGAAAGCCAATTTTACAAGAGTCTGAAGTATTTTACTGGAGAATCAGGACTTTGTAGTTATGATATTTCAAGTAATTTTCATAGGTTGTGATACAGGCAACACGTAATTTGACAGTTTGCCAGGGCAGCACAGTTAGATTTTTTGAGGAGAGCTTTGAAATACTCATTATATCTGTATATTATATCACAGTATATCTGTGAACGATGTATGAAATTAGTAACAAATTCAAGCTTAAGAACAGTCTGACTTCTCAGAAGGGGACAGAAATCCCTCTGGTTGGGTGTACTACTAGCAAATGTGCTGATTTAAGAAGGTTTTTTCTTTAGAAAAATAGACAGAATTCTAAATAACACCAACTTTGTGAGGAAAAATAAAGTAGCCTTTGAAGAGAGAGAATTCCCTTTCTTGAAGGGTCAGGAGCCCGCCTTGCACGGAGCTGTTTAATGCCAAGGTGAAGGAGTAGCTGCCGTGTTTTCTCATGTGGTCTTCAATTTTTAACTGCAGATGGAGTGTTCCTCTGTCCAATGCATCTGCTGCATGACCTCACTTACCCACCCCAAATGCACAGCACCAGGTGGATCTTCTGGCTTTCATCCCTTCCCACTTATCCCTACAGTAGCTTCAAACAGCTGGGAAATACTCAGGGCTTGCAAGTGTTGATGAGTTGTGTCCCATCCATTTGTGCAAGTGTCAGCCAGCAGAAAGCCTGGTGTGCCTGTCTGTCCATGTTCATAACAGCATGTGGGTACCTCCAACTTAACAGACAATTTACTTTGCTTGATGTGATGACGCTGTACATCCTCAACTTCTTTGAACAATTCACAAATCAACAAAAAAAATGAAGTTTAAAAGGTTTCCATGTTCTTAAAGGAACAATATTAAATTTCATGACTGTGATAATATCTTGAATGTCATACATTTGGGAATTGGTGGTATATGGGAAAGGTATTACACTAATTGAGGTCATGGGTTTATACTATGATAAAGTTTTGCTTGGGGTTTTTTTCTCAAATACAAATTCTTCAGTAATTCTTTTTTTTCCCAAGGAGAAAACATAACCTGAAGACAACATAACAAGTCTGCAATGGCAATATGAAACAACTGGACTGAAAGTAACTGAGCTGTACAGTTATTTCTGTAGTTACTGGAATCATTGTGATGCTATTAAGGGAACATATACACACCCAAAGGGAAAATTTAGCACAGATTTAATTAGAGCACTGTTTTGAGGTCAAAATTTGGTTTGAGGATAAACTCGGATTAAGGTACCTGATATCTTTTCCATATAAATGTAGAATGATACACCTTGCAAAAGAAAGGGGATTTTTTTTATTATGAAGACTAAATCTGAACTATAAATGACTGTTTTATTAATGTCTATTTTTAAAATAGTCTTTGTTTAAAAATACCTACTGCATAAAAATAAAAGAACAATATTTTGTCACTGAATTTCCGTAGGGAGCACAATATACTCAAGCAACTATAAATTAGCATGTACTGCTTTGTCACATTCATAATATATAAAAATGTCATTTCACAGGGACAGGCAAAGATGATGAAGGATGGAAAGGTTTTTAGAGTTATTCAAGAGAACTGCTGGGATCCAGAAGTACGGATTAAAGAGATGGACCTGTCAGGTACCTTCCTCCATGAAGGAATGGAAATCATTGAGTCTCATTTAGAATAACTGCAACTGCTCTGTCAGTTCATCTGAAAGCGCTCAATAACAATGGGAAAATTAACAGGTTTAGCATATTGATTCACTAGTTTAAATCTGTTGAAAGTCAGTGAAAACTGATGTGCTTTATATTCAGATGGGACATATTCCCATAACTTTCCTCATTTTCAGTAGCAGTTTATTCCCCACATGAACTCCTTGATTTTGATGGGATTTTAAGTTAGTAAGGAACTAATTGACATAAGTAGGGATGACTGATTGTGGACTTAAAAAGGCAACACACATTCCAGATATAGAAGTAGTTCACATAAAGGAGGAAGGTCTTTCATTTTTGTTCCAAATGTTAACAATATTCTTTTTACTCATAGGATTTTTTGGTATGTTTGTTTCCAAATTAGCTTTTCATCAAGCTGCATACATGACACTAAATAAAGTATGTGAGATGGGAGACTGAGGATGAGGGAAGGAACTTACAGTCTGATCAGTTATTTTTGCTAGTTCTTATTAACACTGCAATTCCAAATTACTTCTGTGAGAGAAATATGTTACTAAAGATTATTTTCTTCTTAGATTGAGACCTGAATAATTACTACATCAGTTTCCCAGTAGACACAACTTGAATATCTTCTTCAACTTTTTATGAGGAATAAACACCTGAAGAGAGTAGATATTTTTTAAGTAGCATCTTTATGATTATTGTTTTCTTCTCTCAGAGCTTATCACACTCTACAACTGTCTGACAGGATATTGTAGCCAGCTGGGAGTTGATCTCTTCTCCCAGATAACAAGCGATAGCAGAAGAAGAAATGGCCTCAAGTAGCACCAGGGGAGGTTTATATTGGATATTAGGAAAAAAATTTCTTCACCAAAAGGGATGTCAAGCACTGGCACAGGCTGCCCAGGACAGTTGTGAAGTCACTGTCTCGGAAGGGATTTAATAAAAAGGTGGATGTGGCACCTGGGGACATGGGTTAGTGGTGGGCTTGGCACTGCTGGCTTAATGGTTGGACTTGATGCTCTTAAAGGTCTTTTCCAACCTAAATGATTCTATGATTCTGTGATAAGGCAGCATATTTCAGAGTTTGCAAAGACATTTGGGTATTCCCATTAAATGTCTAATGGTTGAAGTTTGAAATACTTTTCCAGGGTGCAGATGAAGTAATTGAAAAATTATCTAATTATGTTTACGTAAATTGCCCCATAGCCCCTGACTTCCCAAACTGGCCCATATGATGTGTTGAAGTAAACCCCCTCAAGGATAATGACCCAAAGTACCCCCTAACACAGAATCATAGAATCATGCCTTGACTAGACTGTAATCTTTCTCTGAGTTAGCTCAGGGATTTTGGGGATTACCAAGTCATTCAACTACAATGTGGATCACAAATAGCCTTTGGGCATCTTTCCCTTTCAGATATTTCCCTCAACACTAAAGGCGGGTTTCTACAAAACAGTTCTGCCCCATCT